TGAATTTGAGATGTGAATGCAGGGGTGTAGTGGTAATGCCTGTATATGAGTGATTGGGGGCGTGCAGGAGACGACAGGAGCCGGGTAACTAATGTGTGCTGCGTAGTATTGTCACATGTATGAGGTTGCGCAATCAAATTTGGCATGATAGTGTGGCGTTGATTAAACGTTAGTCAAGCCGAGGTCCTTTTGACTTTGATAGGCAAATAGCTCCTTAAACGTGGACTTAATGATGCGGTCTTTAAGTCTGAATCCATGAGACTCTGTCGCCTCACAAAGCGGAATCAACTATTCGTGACCAATCAAAAGGTGGCATTCACCTCCTGTAAAATTATTTACTATTACTATGAATATTAATGTAGTTATATTAGTAATACCATTACATTTCACCCAGCATTGTACCTCTCTCCCCAAAAAAGCTTTTCACTTCAATACACTATAACAGTTTCGGCATTGCATAGGCACCATCAGCACCCCAAATGTTATTGGAAACCTGGCCATAGGCCTAAACCGGCTAAACGTTGCCATTTAGCCAAGATGGAAAAATTCTACTTTCGGTCTCTAAGTCACCTTAAGCGATCGATGGTGATTAAGTTCTTATTCGAGTGTTTGAAAGTAATACCATATGGCCATGTCTACCACAGTATCTTTTCTCATGGGGTCATCCATAGGTCCCGACGATCGGCTTTCCTAGGACCAGGATGACCCCTGTTTAAATGTCGTAGTTTCTACTCGGCCAGATAGCCCGATCAACTCTTCCTCGGAATGTCAGTTAGCATGTGACGCTCTTACGTGAGTCAAGGTTTCGCATCTTGCATCTGAGTCATGGCAAGGTTGATTGTACCCTCGCTGAAAGGGGGACCGCGATCAGCCAGTGTCGAAACCCACACAGTGCTCCAATGACCCTGTCGTTATGTCCGTATTTGGAGAACTTTTCTTGCTCCACATCAGCAAAGGGACCCTGTCCGGAACTACTGTTAATCGATGCTGCGTCTCTGTGTCGCACCCAAATGCAACAGTTGATTATGTCGTCTCTTACGTCTTGACTGTACTACGCAATGCAACATCTCGGTTACCCGGCTTATGCTGTCCTCTTCTGATCACCCCTGTCGTTTCTATGCAGCCATTATTATTACATATCCACGTGTACCTCTCGATTCTGCGCTACATTCGTTCGTCTTCCTTCTTACCAGTCTTTCTCGGTTCATGCCTTCTTGAACCAAACGTGTCTTACTTTTAATTTGGAATGGCTATAACAAACATGTCTATATCTGGCGATGTCAGTTGTGTTAAGGGCAAAAGCCTTCCATGCTTTCACGTGAACTGACGGAGAGTACGTCGTGGTGGAATAGGAGACACAAGTAAAGGAGAATCAGCCGCTGACCCCAAGTAGGATTGACCCAAAAGTCTCCTAACTTCACATCTTCACATTAACTACGTGACAACTCAAAACTCGTCTATCGAAAGATACGGGACCCTGTTTCTCTCCAAATTTCTTTGCTGCTTGAGCACTTAAGAAATTACCCAACTTCTATCTCTTTGTTTTCAATGTAATTTTGACTTGATCGTTAGTTATCAGCTTTGATATAAGAATCAAGCTTCACGTTTTATGTCATATATTGGTTGGCTGGCAAGTAGAAATTACTCCTCTTAAGTTAATCGCCCCAGTTTGTATCTACACCATAGTTTTGGATCAATTCGGTTTCTTCTGCGTTATTATACTTCTTTACACATAACTTAACCCAGGCAAACTTGTCTAGTGGTAGGTTTTATTCTTAAGCTCTAAAGCCCAAAGTCTTCGGCAAACAAATAAAAGAGAGTACTAGCTCTCTTGTCTCATTATAATCGCCAGAAATGACGCAAACACCTTGGATGCCTTGATTTATCTGCATCCGATTGCCTTTGAGAATTTTCCTCTCTTCATTTCAGATCAGATAAGGGATTAATTTTATCAGGATTTTTCTTCACATGACTCATATTCTGAGGGAAGCCTGAACAACTGCGGAATACTCTTGATTACATGACCTCTTCCCGTAGCTCAGCACGAACTTACTGAAGACTGAGGATGGTTCTGTGAGGACTGGACTGATCTCAACGATGAAATTACCAAACAATTGGTCAACAATCCTAGGATCATCTCGCGAGGCTGGTAACCAGACTTCTCCATCGCGTCTCCCCTCTGTATAGGAAGACGGTATGAAGATCGCATAATTGCATGTCCATCGCTTGAGTATCAACTGAAAACTATTGATGGTTCACTTCGACTCGTCATTTTGTCAAAATATTTACAAAAAGTTTTAATTTTTTTGGTATTTTCTTTTTCCCGTATGTTTATTCTTTTGACATACTCATGGTTTTATTATTCACAAACCCTACTCCCTAAGGCTGGCTCTCTGACGCCTGCCAACGCCAATGGCTACGACTTCTCTACACCCATAATGTCCAAACGCACTTGGCCTCTCATGATTCTTCGAGTGTCGCTGGTAATGATTTTTTTACTAATATTTAGCCCTTCTGTCCTCACTTTATTCTCTACCCTATGCTCCTATTTTATGAATAATAATTTTGTCACCCTAGGTTGCTTAAGGTGATTTAAGGACTGATAGCTGATCTTTCCCACAATGATATGAGTAGACCTCACGATGCCATTGAAATCCATTCAGCCGTAGCTCCAAAAATGTTTTCTTATTCAGGCTCGACTGAAATTTTGACCTCGCTTGGGTCGAGCATTCCGCCAAAATTTCTTAATTATTTTGCAGTTCTAACGAAACTTAGGCGAGGTTGAAATTGCTGTCGAACTTGAATGATAAAACCTCCTGGGAGGCACGGCCGAATGGAATTGACTTATATCATACCATTTGAAGAGAGTGACTAGGTTCTTATTTAAGAATTACCAATGGTTTATAATCCAACGTATGCCGAAAATTCTTTCTTATGCTTGTTCTTCGAATTTTGTGTTTATTCTACTTTCATCAAAAGCATCAACGTGTAATGTGATTCGACTTTTCACACCTCTCTACTTTCAGTCTTTCAATCAAGCATAAATAGTTCTTAATTGAAGGTATGAAGACCAAGATGGTGTAACCTTTTGTGTGGTCGCAGTCTCATTTCGTTGTATATAAGTTGTTTGACCTTGTTTTCGCAACATGCTCATATTGGTAAGAAGACTTAGAGGATCGCATGTTTCATGTCGCTCAAAGGAGCACACCACACTATATCTAAATAAGCACAGTAAAAATTGTAATAGTGAAGGCATGAT